GAAGCACTGAAGAACAGCTGTCGTTGTTGGCTAAAGAAATTGTCCTTGGTGAGATTGGCCATAGGATTATGAGCTCATTGGCGACCGTCTGAAATAGTCTATGTGATAAAGAGTTTTGTGGTTGTTTGCATTACAGATATTTTCTATTCCGTGCAACACTACGTGTCTACTACGAGAAATTTCCTTCACTCAATTTATGAGTGCATCCGTGTTACTAGAGTAACACGGAGATCCCCTTGACTTTTTATCCTCAAGTAACAACTGCGTAGTCCACAGCCAAGAGGAAGACCGTCCGTAACGCCCTCAGTGTCGCGATTACTTCACTCCTCGTCTGTTTAGATAAGCTAATAACAGTCTAGCATGGTTACTGTGTCTTCTCACAGTAACAATTGAAACTGACCTCAGAAAACTCAGCGAATGGAGTAGTCAATGGCAGATGCCCTTTTCACCCGAAAAATGTCATCTCCTGATCTTTGGCCCACAAAAACTTCCGCCCATAATTTTCGAGGATAATGAAATAACGGAGGCCCCATCAGTAAAAGATTAAGGTCTCAGCTATACAAATACCCTTGATTTATCTCCCAACGTCCGACAAATATCACCGAAAGCGACTCGCCTATGTGGACTCATATGTAAAAATTTCACCTTAAATGCACTAAGAATTCAACGTTTTAAAATATACGTTTAACCTCTCCGAGATTATTGCTCAATTTTCTTTGGTATAATGACCTCAGACGGCCAAAAGAAACCAAAAGGCATTCAGAGACGTTTTACTGGATCTTTGTCCAGAAGTGGTAACACCCAGGGTTCATACTTAGAACTATATCATAAATATGGTCTTCGACCACTCTGGATCAGAAGACTCCAAAATGGTCTCAACCTCCTATTTAAGGTCACCCATGACCAAGGTAGTCTCAAAATGAATTTACTACCAAACCAAAACGCCGCCAGAAACACCAGAAATAACGAAGATATTATAAGGACCCCAAATTCACGAAGTCCCTACGGTCAAATTTCTACACCATAAGATATGCCACTATCTGGAATGCTCTTTCAAGTTCTATCCGAAAAAGCCAAGTGACATGTTTCGCAGGATCGTTCAGGTAAAAATCCATGCTGACTAGAGCCCAGAAGCCGATTAGTTAGAAAAAAGCCAAGAATTTCATTGAAAATAATCCTTTCAAGAAGCCTTGCTACTATCTGGAATGCTCTTTGAATTTCTATCCGAAAAAGTCGAATCCTTATCAAGTTTAAAATAAAAACTAAGAAATTCCTTTCAAATAACAATACACATTTATTTTGAATAAAATAGGACACTTTTCAAGTCAATTCTTTGATATAGAATTTGGTCCAAATGGGCTCTGATGATACCGACCGCTTGTATAACACCGGAACATTGCACTAAAAACAACCCAATTTATGAAAAATAGCATCATCGATAAACGTAGAACGAATAGCGATATTCTTTCTTTCCTCCCTTTATCGTTTCTCACACCCAGGTAAGGAAACGCTGAGAGTAGATCCCGGAGGAGATAAATCTGAACTGAGCTGTTAACATCTCTGAATACTCATTCACACTCAGCAGGAGATGGTACGTCGGAAACGGGATACAGTATAGTATAACAACACGGTGATGGGAGATATGTATAATAATAATATTTACTCGTGCAGGTAGAATGAGTTTCGGCCAGAAAATAACCTGTCTGGGTGGAAAGGCGAGACCAACATGCCAGGTGGAAGACCGGTGGGGAACGCTGCGCTGGGGGCAACTGCAGGGAGGGGCCGAGGGGGTTGCCGATGTAGCGAGGGAAACGATACGAGCGTAACGTTACGGTACGGAGCGGGGGAAGGGATCGGTGGAAGAGAGAGGAAGGGACACCGGCCATCTTCACGAACATGCGGCTACGCCATCTCCATCCTTGGTCCGCGCTCCAAAAAAGTGTCACGGCACTCAAGCAACGCTGCTCAGATCACGGGACGTTGCACTGACATCCACCAGCTAGGACACACCAAAATTTACCCAACTGAAAAATAATTTCAAGGTCAGGCCGATATCAAAGTTCTTCAATTTCCATGAACGACATATTATTCATGCCCACCCAGAAACTACCAAACTGCACACTTCAGTTTTTATGTTGTACATATCTTTCTTTCTTAAAACTTATCTAATTATTTTTCCTTGGAAATCAGTTTTTTCAACTTAAAATAAACTCGCAATTCGCGCTCTATTGGCTAAAGAGACACCCAAGACAAATGCAGTCAAAGTGCAGTCAAAATAGATGAGTTCGTTTTAGGTTTTTTTCTGTGTTCAAAGGAGGCTGACAGTGCCCAAGGGGCACTATAATAAACCTATTCTATTCTGTCTGCCCACTTAACCTCTCAGCCAGAACTATAAATGTATAATCCTAGTAGCAAACTATATCTAGTAGATATCTATTAGATATCGATTAATCGAGATACTACGCCGTCGGCGAAAAGGGGGGGGGTAATATGCTACGCGTGGAATCGTTTGCTTAACCCAATGCCCTTTTCTACCATCCATTCATTTCTTATCGTGTGTTTAATCCCTCCCCCCTGTTACCCAGAGGTACTTTGGAGCTAGTTATTGTGGAATAATTATATTCAAAAGTAAAATAGTTAGATATGTACAATGCTTTGCTGAATCCCTTCCGTGATCACTGGGTTGACAGAGGCCGGCAATCAGTAGAAGCTTCTGGGATGTTGTCTACAATTCATAATTAGTTTTGATAAACGGCACTCAATTAAACTTGCGTCTTTTGTTTTCTTAGGACGTAGCTGTCCAGCGACCTTTCCCGGCACTTGGTAAAAGCAGACTGAAGGTGAAGACTTCGCTTCACGAAGTCGTCAACATTGTGCCCACCAAGGCATGCTAGGTAGGAGGTCTAACGCAAGAGGGAGTTATAAATTGGGTAGTATACCAATTAGCTTCGGAAGCTACTGTCCAGTAGTTGGAAATAACCTTCCAGTGGCTCTCAGTGACATCGATTGTGGACGGCAGTGTTGCCATTTGCTTACATATAAGAAGCAATATACGCATCTGATCGCTAGCTGATGGCACTTTTGGAGAATAAGTTCAAGGAGAAGTGACATTACCGTCGTCTGTCTGGTCGCCCAAAGGGATGGTTTCGAAAGTCGTCGGCTTTCTCCTGTGGCTCTTGAAAGTTATAACGGCGTTATTTTCCATCACTTACTGGAAAGCCTCGTTTCCATACCTCTTCCCTGCCAACACCTGGCCACACCTACTTCAATTTCCTCAGTGGGTTCCAGGATATTGTTGAGCAAGCCTTTGAAAAGCCTTAGATCTTCCGAAACCCACTCTTTAGGAGTGTTGGCATTAGATTCAGGGAGTCCCTGAATAACAAGACATTGGTCTCTGTCGATATCGTTCGTATATTTTGTTGACCTATTTCTCTCTGGTGGATGTGGTACTTTAGGGGTATGAGATGGCGGTGGTGGAACACATTCTTTATCGCGGTTTCGATGATCGACGCCAATTTTAACTGACTTGGAGGAGGCCATTGATATGGACGGTAGCGAATGATGGTCCATAGATTCGGTAATTGCCTCAGTACCACTACTTGTGGTGGACCCATCCGATCCAAGAGTTTTCTGGGCGTTACGAACTGTTTTTGGACTTTCGGCATTAACCGTTATGGACGGGGGCTTTTAAGGGAGGTACTTTTACTTTACTTCTTGTTATTCTCCCAGTGGGGCACTTGCATCGTCAGGTGTGTCTAAGTCATATTGTAGAAAAGCCTTTATCTGTTTAATCTCTTTCTCAAGATGGTTGACCCTAAGGGCTAACAGCTGGCATTCACCACAAAGCCTATTTGCGTATGGCTCGCCCGTAGAATCCACATAATTTTGTGGGAAGTCAGGCGACCGTATTGAGGTGGCCGAGTGGCCTGGGCTGCTGAACGAATTTGCGAAGGTCGCAAGATCGACTCCACACGGAGGCATATTCTGAGCAGTAGCGGACATGTTCGTAGTGCTTTCTTAAATTATGTAAGAAGGAAAATCTTAGGGAAATAATTTAAGATGTGGACGTTTTCTAATGATCTGTCGAAATAATGTGACAGTGGAAGGTCTAACGAGCGTTTTAACTAATTTTACGTTTGAAAGTTGCTAACGATCTGACTATAAACAGCGCAACAAACAGAAAAATAATAAGAATTAATCGACTCAGCCTTTCGTAGACGTTGCACAGGGACACTAAAAAGCACTTTGAGACAGTGGTTAGAAACGGTAGGTGGTGTAGATCAAGTGTAATTTCCGGTCGAAGATGAAGACTGCGGAATAGTTGTCCTGGTCATAAGATAAAAATGCCAATGACTGCGAAGGCAATGAGGTGTTCATCAATCCAATTCTTGTGGAGAAACAGCCTTTTTCCGTGAGAGAAGAAACGGTTTGAAAATTTCCTTCTTGCGAGTCCAAAATTTAAACCGCGCGGCGAGTTGGAGGTCCCATTTACAATGCGAAAGTGTTCGGCATGCCAGTGTCAATAGAGGAAGACTGCACAAATTCGCAGGGCGGACGAAAGGATGCAATGCATACAAGTTCGACAGCAGTGCATTGAATGCCTTCCTCAGGAGAAGATTTAGTGCCCAAAGGCACAAGAGGGATATTGTCACTCCAAGAAGCTGTTTCTAGTGTGACAGCAGTGCGGATTTCATTTGCCGGTATAGACACCCCACAAGGCTGTTGGAGTTAGAACGATATGCCGTGGTTACGATGTGCACACACCCGGGCAGTCGAGTGGACTCACGGAAGACATTGGGTTTAAATAAGCTTCTGCGGTCAATTGTGATGGTGGTTAGCACAGCACAAGTGGAAAACAAGTGGGTCAAGACGTCCAAGGACTTCTGCGGAGGCATCCAAAATGAATATGGATAGTGATCATCGTGGAACAGCATGAAAGGGATGACTGTGAGCCAGTCGCACAAATCATGGATTGTGATGCAGGGATAGATGCATAAAAAGATAAGGATTAGCAAACGTACACAGGTCATCGACGGACATATCGTCTGTTTCGGGGTCTGTAAGCTTCATCGGGTCGAAGGTAGAGGTCAGGGTGTTGACGGCTGATTTAGAAAGTGCGTCAGCAACGTCATTGAAGATGTCTTGGCAGTAACGTATACCATCAGTAAACTGAGGAATAAGGTCTAAAAGAAAAACTTCTCTGGAGGGGTAACGGAATGGCTTGGGAGCCCTTAAAACCCTGTCCTCTAGTGTATGTCATAAATGACGGATAGAAAGTAATGATTGAAAAAAATAAAGTCCCAAGTAAGAACTTAAGTGTTTGCAGTGCAAAACTGTACGAAGTTTTGGATCGGCTTATTTCTCGTTTTGTCTCCCGTAAGAAAATACTTAATGTGGGAGATAAGGTTTTCCTACCCTAATCGTTTCGCCGCAGGTTGCGCAGACTTTCACGTCGATTCCATCTTCAGAACGATGTTTCCGTTCCGCCGTTGATTTAAGATCTTTTTGAGCGGGCTAAGAGATTGTCTGAGGAAGAAGAACAGCTGGCTGAGGAGGTCCAATTCACTGGAAACAATTCCGACGAGAATGTTTTCACCGCTTGCCGGATTTGTGTTTAACGCTTCCCTGGCAATGCCTGTACACTGGCATTAAATATAATAATAATAACCGTATTTAGTGTCAGCTTACACGCATTGGCGGGGAAAGGTTGGGCAAAAATCAGACAGGCAGTGAAAAAATGATCCTGATAATAAATTATACAGGATCGTGAATAGCAGCGGAAATCTTAACACGTTGTGTACGGGTGCCCGGGTAGGAGGATATAAAATTTAAAAGTTTGCCACCCATTCCGAAAAAGGACAGTTTCAAGTGAAGAAGAGCGTGGTTCACACGATCAATAGCCGCGGTGAATTCAAGGTAGACTGTGCGAAGAGCGACACCATTGTCCCTAGATTGGGGAATATAATCAAATAAAGACAGCTGACAGGTGTCCCAAGATCGGGCTCTGGGGAATCCTTTTCGGACGGAATTCAATGGGTTTTTCTCTGATAAGTGACACAACATCATATCTTTGATCAATGTCTGTAAGATCATCGAAACTGCGGAGAGGGTGTTTATTGGCCGAAAGACATCGAATGACGTAGATTGAACATGCTTGAGAATAGAAAGAATGTGTGATTCCTTCCACAAAGTAGGACCGGCTTCATTTTCAAGGGCGCGATTAAATATCTCGCATAAGAGGGATGGGAATATCGTATTTGCATCAGCTTTTAAGATGCTACTGGGACACCATCAGGTCCAGGGCTATGAGATTGACGACAGCGCCTAATCGCGACAGTCACACCACACAGAGTGAAAGTTATAGCATTGAGAACTCTCGCAGTCAATGCCAGGATCGTCGGAAGCGGAGCGGTCGAGTTTTTTTTTATAAAAGTTTCGGAGAGGAAATCATTGAAACTATCAGCGGTTAACTGGGCATCAGTTATAGAATTCCCGATAGCGTCTCGCAGGGTGGGATACGGCGTCTTTAT